CTCGTCGCCCCGGGTGCTGAGCCGGGCCCGGCCGGGTGAGCGGGCAGCTGCGTCCCTGGGCGGGATTCCCGCAGCGTCTGCCCGGTGTCCGCCGCGGCTCCCCGGGAGACGCCGCTTTTGCAGCCTGCCCCTCCTGGGGCCGGCCTCCTCCCTCGCTTCGTCCGCCGCGGCTTCCCCTCCCCGCCGGGGCGCGGGGCACGGGACGGCCGAAGGTCGCCGCCGCCCGCGGACCCCGGGCTGTCGGTGAGTCACCGCTGACTGTTAAATGTCTCCGCAGACCGAAACATGCAGACCTCCGGGGCGCTGCTCCTGTCCCCGGCGCTGGTAAGCCGCGCCCCGCGCCGTGTGGGTGGGGGCCGGGAACCCCTGTCTGCTCGGGCGTGAAGACCCGGCCGCGCCCGCCCGGACCGCAGGGACTCGGCCTGGGCCGGGAGATCCGGCCTCGCCGGCTTGGAAGACGCTCGGGGCCCGGGCTGCACCGCGGGCCGGCTGCACGGATCCGGGGCCGAGGGCCGGAACCCTGGGCGCCTGCCTTGGAGCTCCGGGTGGCTCCAGCCTTCCCGAGCCCTGGAGAATATTCCCAGTCTCCCGGCAGAGAGCTCCCGTCCTCACGCCGGGCCCCCCGGGCGTGTGGCAGTGCTCCCCGCCGACTCCTCGCTGATCAGGCCCAAGCCTCTCCTAGGCACCTGCTTTCCAGCTTGTTTTTTTTTGGTACCGGGAATCGAACTCGGGACCTTGCTCTTTCCAGGCAGGCGCTTGTGCCGTTGAGCTATATCCCCGGCTCTGGCACCTGCTATCGTATTAGGGCTTTTTTCTTCTAAAATAGTGGCTCCTTAGGCGTGGGGTTTTTGTTCCATTGTGGGACGCTGGCTGAGGCTGTGGCGCTGGACGTGAACTTCAGTACACGTTTCTGTTGTTTCATTTTTGGTGCTGCGGGTTGAACCCCGGGCCATGCCTTCTGCCGGAAAGCTGCACGGCGGCCTGGCACGTAGTTCCAAACCGTGGTGGCCGCGGTGGTCAGAACAGCAGTCTCTGGCACAAGCCCAGCTGGTGGCAACAGAATAGATGGATTGACTTTGGAACACATTCTATTGATGGTTTTGTAGTTATTTCTGACAAGCTTGTCCTTAGGATTTTTTACTTGCCTGATTGAGAGGGATGTGTCTCTCTGATCTTGCAGATCCGCTGTTGTACCCGGGGTCTGATCAGGCCCGCCTCTGCCTCCTTCCTGAGTAGGCCCCAGGACCCATCTAAACCGGTGAGAAGTAAAGCCCACCCAAGGGTCTCCCCAGCAGCACTCTTTCAGGTTAATGGAGCTGCCTTTCAGTCGGAGGATCTGTGATGCTCTGATAGTTCTGAGTCTCTAAAAGAGGCTGCCATAGGTGAGAAACTCGCAGAAGTAGCTCTGGGCGCGGTGGCACCCACCTGTCATCCCAGCGCTTGGGAGGCTGAGGCAGGAGGATGGCTGTAAGTTCAAGGCCAGTCTGGGCTACATAGCAGAAACTCTGTCTCAAAACCAAGGACATTTTTGCAAGAGTGAGGTTTGTCTAATCCATGCCATTTCCCTAGTGCTGTCTGAAGACAGAACTTAAGTTCTATTCCCAATCCTGCACCCAGTGTTGTACCAGTCTGGTGGGTGGGGCGGGAGGGTGGAGGCTCTCTGTCCTGCCAGCCCCATTGTGTCCCTGCCCCCACCCATTTTTTTTTTTTGGTGGGGGAGGTTTTTTCCCCATACTGGGAATCGAACTCAGGACCTCACGCTTGCCAGGCAGGGCACTGTGCCGCTGAGCTAAATCCCCAGCCCCTGTCCCTGCCCCTTTCCAGCCCTCCAGCAGCAGCTCCCAACTCCAGGTGGCCAGGCGGGCCTTCCAGACCAGTGTGGTCTCCCGGGACATTGACACAGCAGCCAAGTTTATTGGCGCTGGGGCTGCCACAGTTGGCGTGGCTGGATCCGGGGCTGGCATCGGAACGGTGTTTGGCAGCTTGATCATCGGCTATGCCAGGTGAGTTGGGCGCGGCCCAGAGCGCCTCCTACTGTGAGTTCCCCCTCTGGGAAAGTCTCAGCCGGAGGAGTGGCCTTCAGGTGCCTGTAGTTTGATTCCATCTGCCTCCTGTTCTCTCCAATGATCTCTATCAGGGTACAAATATCTCAGCTGAGCATGGTGGTGCACACCTGTCATCCCAGCACTTGGGAGGCTGAGGCAGGAGGATTGCCATGAGTATGAGACCAGCCTGGGCTCCATAATGAGTTCTAGGCCAGCCTGAATTACATAGCAAGCCCTGTCTTATAAAACAAAACAGGAAGCCGAGCATGGTGGCGCACTCCTGTAATCCCAGTACTCAGGTGGCTGAGACAATGGAGGATCATTGTGAGTTCGAGACCAGCCTGGCCTATGAAGTGACCTCAAGGCCAGCCTGAACTGCATAGTGAGACCCTGTCTCAAAAAGGCAAAAAAAAAAAGGCTGGAGGTATAGTTCAGCAGTGCAGCACCTGCCTGGTAAGCACAAGGCCCTGGGTTCAATTCCCTTAAAAAAAAACAAAGAAAAGAATTTAAGTGCTCATCAGTTTGCTAAGTTGCTACTCTGCATGCCCTCAAGTCCCCAGGCTGGGTGAGACTAGGTTCTCCCCAGCCGTGCCACAGTGCCCCAAGCCTGTCCCACCCCCACTGACCTCCACGATGCCTGTCTCTGTCCCATAGGAACCCGTCTCTCAAGCAGCAGCTCTTCTCCTACGCCATCCTGGGCTTCGCCCTGTCTGAGGCCATGGGGCTCTTCTGTCTGATGGTCGCCTTCCTCATCCTCTTCGCCATGTGAGCACCACAGGGCAGCCTGCCGTGCCTGGTGCTGGGCCCCGAGCTGTACCATTAAACACCGTTTCTCTAAGCCTCGTGCCGGCCTCTGTCCTTGGACCTTGGGGGTGGCCTTGGGCGAAGGTGCGAAGAAGAGCTTGGGCCAGCTCTGGGGAGCAGGAAGCCCCCCCTACGAGTCCTGTGTGGATGTGTAACATTTTTGAGGGACTTCATTTGCATGAAGCCCTAGTGTTTTACAACACCTCTTCTTTGGTTTTGGTGTTTTTGAGACAGGGTCTCACTGTGTAACCTAGGCTGGCCTGGAACTCACTGTGGAGCCCAGGCTGGTGATCCTCCTGCCTCTGCCTCCCAAGTGCTGGGATGACAGGTGTGCATCACCATGCCAGGCTGTGTTGTTCTTTTAGGCCCAAAGGAAGAGCACGCTGTGGACAGAACAATGCAGAGGTGTTTGGGGACATGGTCAGTCTCAAATTGGATGGCTTCCAAAGGAGCAGTAACTCAGTGGGACCCACTGGGTGAAAATCTTGTATCTCAACTGTGAAACTTCTGTGAAAGACGGAAACCAAGACTGTTCCTAACTAGTGTTAGGATTAGCAAAAAGAGTTAGAATACACAGAAGGCAGGTTAGAGCCTGTGTGTGCTTAGCATGTGCAGGCTTCAGTCCCCAGCACCAAGGGGGGAAGTGCAACAGATTCAGTTTACATGCAGTTAAAAAAAATATGGAACACTTAATGAATTTTCGTGTCATGCGTGCTGCCAAAGCAAGCACACATGCAGTTTAAAGACAGTCCTAGAGGGGGCTGGGGATTTAGCTCAGAGGCACAGAGCCTGCTTGGCAAATGGAAGGTCGTGAGTTCGATTCCTGGTACCAGATGAAAACTGAAAAAAAAAAATACAGTCCTAGAGCCAGGACTGATGGTGCACACCTGTAATCCCAGCACTTGGGAGGCTGAGGCAGGAAGATCATTGAAAGTTCAAGGCCAGCCTGAACTGCATAGCGAGACCCTGTCTCAAAAAGACAAACAAAAACAAAAAAAACAGTCCTGTAGCCAGGTGTGGCATGGGCCTGGGATGCCAGCATTTGGGAGCCTGAGGCAGGATTGCCACAAGCTCAAGGGTAATCTGAGCTACATGGACCCTGTCTCCAAAAAAAGCAAAACACAAATTATTGTATGGGCAAAGAAACAGCAGGAAGCTCAGAGAGGCTAGGCACTCTTCCCAAGGTCACACAGCTCCTCAGTAAAGCTGGGACTCATACTCCACACCTGTGTCCTTGGGCCAACTCCTCCACTTCCACAAGTTCAGCGACAAACTGAAGGTCCCTCAGGCTCACCTGACATTGAGCAGCCACTGCCTTTGTTCTGTACCCTGGGAGCCCTGACCTTGGCATGCTTGGGGCCAAATGCTTGTGGGCGGGGGCAGAGAGTTCAGCAACAGCCACAGCCCCTGCAACAGGTCCCACTCCAACTGTGACAACCAAGGACCGGTGTCCCCTCTTGGCCTCTTCACAAGTAACTCCCTTGAGCTTGCGGAGAGCAGGCCGGGGAGAACCTGAACCAGAGTCCAGGGCTCCCAGGGCCGGAGCAGACCAGGGCGGAGGGGCTGGCAGCCTGAGTGTCGCTGGGGAGCAATGGATTAGTAACTGGCAATGCTGTTACCACACAGCACTGTGACCTCGCGGGTGTCCTGCTGGCGCCCAGGCCAGTCCTGGGCTCCGGAGGTAATCTAGGAACAGCCCCTGGGGAGGGGGGTTGCCTTTTGTATCCTGCAAGTGCCAGGACGTATTTTTACCAAGGAGCTGGGAAGAATCTGCATCCAGGGCTGC